TTATTGCATTAATAATCCTCCTAATTTAGAGTTATACTCAAAAATTTAACTTTTCTTTTACTTTATAAATCTAGTTTACATTTTAATCACTATTTATACACATTCCTATACATTCCTATATATTCAATGAGGAAAATATCTTCATGGCATATATATTTATTTCATATAAAAATTACTACAATAGGACACAGGTAAGAAATTTCAAAAAGTTAATGGAAAATGGAATTAAAACATAAGTTTAGTGTGGTACAAAAATTTTGAAATTCATATGTACAGAGGTGTTCAAAGTCTTTGTGAAAAAAATACTATTAGAAACAAAACTATGCATGAATTTCAAATATTTTTGCACCAAAATATCTTTAGTTCCATTTTATATGAATTTTTGAAGTACCTTTTATGTTCTACATCTTTATCCCAAGAGAAAAAGACTTTGTATTTAAGTGATGCCATAAAATGCAGTTTGCTATAGCTTCTCTAAGAAATTCACAATATATTTGTGTTTTAAAGGTTTTGAAAGGGATGCTGTAAAAAAAAAGTCTCACTAAATCTAACCCAAGAAATTGCCAATTCATGTAACTATAAAATCCTTTTCTTTTCAAAAGTATTTTATCAAGACATCTTGAAATGTTGTTGTAATGAATAACATGTAAAACCTTTATACTGACATTGGCCTTGAGAGAATTTTAAAGAGAAAATGTTTGCACATGACTCAAACATACTCAAATAGTTTAAAGTCTAAATATTTTACTGGGCATATTTTGAAGCAATTGAAATATTTCCCTTCTAAGTTAGAGTGCTTATGAAAACATGCACTTCATTTCTATATAACCCCAAATAGCCAATGCTAAAGTATTCAGACATCAATAAGGAAAAATGGATGCAAGAACCACAATGCATAAACTTTATTTTGATCACTTTACTTTCAAACCATCAATGTATCTGTAGCAGGAAATAACACCACATAATTAGCAAAGCAACCAAAATATACTTTTGCTTATTGCCAATAATACCACTTCCAGTTAAAAGTGGAAAACCCCTAATCACTATTCAGATTTTTCCCAACCCAACAAACCCACGAGATTCCATTTTTATGTTAAGGAATTAATATCCTTTTCTTCACAATGACTGTCAGAAATAATAATTATTCTGCCCAAATTTAATTTTGAATTGATCTAATAAAAGTACCTCATTGAAACATTATTATGTAACAATTTAAAAAAAATCCTCAGAATCACGCTAAGGAGGTCAGATGTTGCATTCTAGTGATCTATATACCATGTGTGAGTTTATGCAGTTTTACCTAAATGGCATAAGAATATTTTTTGAGAGAGAGTTCATAATTCTAAAAGAATTTTGGTTTTAGGAGACCTAATAAATTACACCAGTATTACATTCAGAAGCAATCGAGATATATACCAGGAAGTCAGGTAGACAAACCCTTACAAGTTACCGTTGTTAAAGTTGTCTGGAAAAAAATAGAGATTGGTAGCCACATGGAGATCAGAGTACCAGGCTTTGAAATTGCACACAATGGAACTCTACAACCTGATTCTACTTAATCAAAAGGCAGATGGAAAAACTTGATATAACAGTAAAGTGAAAAGACAGGTAACTTCTCTATATTTTCTAGGGTCCTGAATGAAAAAGATTGACAGTGATGATGATAACAGAAAAAAATATTATTCCTTAAATCTCTTCTGAGTGTTTGCCATCCTGAAATTCACCAACACCACAGTTCAAGAAAATCTCAAACTGAAGAATTTTATGTCTTCCTAAATTGTTTACATACCCTGGTGTCCAGCAGAAGCAAATGCAGGTCCTCATTGGAAACATACCTTTAATCTGCATACCAAATTCCTACTTATTAAGTACTTCTCACAATCAAAATTTATTAAATATGGTGCTGGGCATTTGATATAATGTTTAAGACGTGGGTTGAGGTGTCTGCAATCCATATTGCAGTATAGGTTGAATCTCAGCTCAGCTCCCAATTCCAGCTTCCTGCTAATGTTGCCCCTGTGAGGCAGCAGGGACGTCTCAAGCAATTTGGTCCCAGCCATCCAAACGGGAGATTTTGATTTTTTTTCAGCTCCAGGCTTTGTCCTGGCCCAGCTGTGGTCACTTAGGTAGATGAGCTTACTCTCTCTGTCTCATAAAAATAACCAAATAAAAATATAAATACATAAATAATTTTTTAAAAATTTACCAAATATTTAAAGAAAGAGACCACCATTAATGAAGGTCAGTAGAAATATTAACTTTAAAAACTGCTTTAGATCACCCTCCAGTAACTTCAGAAGTTGTAAATATGACATATAGAATGCAAGCTATTTATGAAATCTTCAAAGAAACTAAATTGTCTCTGATTTCTCAGCTCCATTATGTCCAACTCTTCTGTCTAATAAGTTTCTTCACAGATATATAAATCACAGGGGCCAGTATTGGGGTATAGCAGGTAAAGCTGCACCCACCTTGCAGGAATTCCGTATAGGCACTGGTTCCTTTCCTGGCTGCTTCACTTCCCATCCAGCTCCCTGCTAAAACCTGAGAAGCGTGGTGGAAGATGGCCATAGGGTTTCAACTCCAGCCACCCACGTGGGAGATTGGGAAGAAGCTCCTGGCTCCTGGCTAGAACCTGTCCTAGCACCAGCCTTTGCAGCCATCTAGGGAGTGAACCAGTGGATGGGAGATCCCTCTAATTCTGTAACTCTTTCAAAATAAATAAATAAATCTTTCTTTAAAAAAAAGACATACAAATCATATAGTGAGCTACAATTCCAGTTAAGTCCCATAGTCTCTCCAACCCTCTGCCTGACACACAGGCATGCTGGAGAAAGTACATCCAGGCAGCGAGGCAAGGAAATCACAGGGATCATCTTGCTTATTTCCCTTCTTTTGGGGGGAGTCACATGACTGTGCTGCCATCTGCTCAATGTCTGAAGACACCTGTTTCTTTTTTTTTAACTTTTATTTAATGACTATAAATTTCCAAAGTACAGCTTATGGATTACAATGGCTTCCCCCTCATACTGTCCCTCCCACCCACAACCCTCCCTTTTCCCACTCCCTCTCCCCTTCCATTCACATCAAGATTCATTTTCGATTATCTTAATATACAGAAGATCAGCTTAGTATACATTAAGTAAGGATTTCAACAGTTTGCTCCCACACAGAAACATAAAGTGAAAAATAATAGATGATTGTTTTAAATGATGATGAAATCAGATCAGACCTATTGTCATGTTTAATCCCAGTGAGAGTCAAGTTGGGAATTGATAATTTCTTTTTTTTTTTTTACAGAAGATCAGTTTATTATGCATTAAGTAAAGATTTCAACAGTTTGCACCCCCATAGAAACATAAAGTGAAATATATTGTTTGAGTACTCGTTATAGCATTAAATCTCAATGCACAGCACATTAAGGACAGAGATCCTACATGAGGAGTAAGTGCACAGTGACTCCTGTTGTTGACTTTACAAATTGACACTCCTGTTTATGGCATCAGTAATCTCCCTATGCTCCAGTCATGAGTTTCCAAGGCTATGGAAACCCTTTGAGTTCTCCGACTCTTATCTTGTTTAGACAAGGTCATAGTCAAAGTGGAGGTTCTCTCCTCCCTTCAGAGAAAGGTACCTCCTTCTTTGAAGACCTGTTCTTTCCACTGGGATCTCACTCACAGAGATCTTTTGCCAGAGTGTCTTGGCTTTCCATGCCTGAAATACTCTCATGAGCTTTTCAGCCAGATCTGAATGCCTTTAGGGCTGATTCTGAGGCCAGAGTGCTATTTAGGACATCTGCCATTCTATGAGTCTGCTGAGTATCTCGCTTCCCATGTTGGATCACTCTCCCCTTTATTTATTCTATCGGTTAGTATTAGCAGGTACTAGACTTGTTTATATGCTCCCTTTGACTCTTAGTCCTTTCATTATGATCAATTGTGAACAGAAATTGATCACTTGGAATAGTGAGATGGCATTGGTACATGCCACCTTGATGGGATTGAATTGGAATCCCCTGGTATGTTTCTAACTCTACCATTTGGGGCAAGTCAGCTTGAGCATGTCCCAAATTATACATCTCTTCCCTCTCTTATTCCCACTCTTATGGTTAACAGGGATCACATTTCGGTTAATTTTCAACACTTAAGAATAACTGTGTGATAATTACAGAATTAAACCAGTCATATTAAGTAGAACAGACAAAAAAAAAAATACTAAGAGGGATAATGTATTAAGTTGTTCATTAACAGTCAGGGCTATGCTGATCAAGTCACCATTTCTCATAGTGTCCATTTCACTTCGGGAGGTTTCCTTTTTGGTGTTCAGTCAGTTGTCACCGATCAGGGAGAACATACGGTATTTGTCCCTTTGGGACTGGCTTATGAAGACACCTGTTTCACACATTTTGTCTGGCTTTCTAGTTGTTTATGGTAGAATGCAAGTGTGGTAGTTACCCAAACTGTATTTCAACTGGAAACAGAAGTTTGCAGGCTGTCTTAATTATGAAGATGGACTTCATATTTCAGTTTTTCCTGGTTGTGGAATGTTCCAAAATTCCTTATTGCTCCCAAAACACAGGTGCCAGTGATGATTAAGCCATCATCACACACGTTGTTGACATCAGGTGTTGCATCTTCCAAATGTTTGTGTTTCCTTTTTATTTTGATTTTATTTATTCTTAGCTCCTTTGTGGTCAGAGAATTTAATTTGTGTGCTTGTCTTCATTTATATATTCACAACCTCCTTTTCATACATCCTCACCATTCCCATCATGCTGTAGCCCCATGATTTTCCTCTAAAACAGTGTATCAACAACTAACATTATAATTTTATTTTACTTTATCATTCCCATCACTACAACATAAGCACCATTCCAAAAATAATATTTTCTTGTATGTTCACTGACAAACCCTTAGTGCCTAGATGCTGAGGCATATAGTAGATAAATATCTGATGGTTGGATGAAAAAATTAACTGCAAGAATTTTGTCCAACTAAGGTCACGGGAGAGGGCCGCCATTTTGACTGAGCAACCCTAGTGACAGGAGCCGAAGCAGCAGCGCAGGTTGTCCCCGTTTCCCCTCCCCCTTCCCTCTGTGGTTGATTTCCCGGGCCCCCTACACTCCACAACCCCGGCTCTGCCATGTCCCAGAAACAAGAAGACGAGAACCCTGCGGAGGAGACCGGCGAGGAGAAGCAGGACACACAAGAGAAAGAAGGTATTCTCCCTGAAAGAGCTGAGGAAGCAAAGCTAAAGGCCAAATATCCAAGCCTAGGACAAAAGCCTGGAGGTTCTGACTTCCTCATGAAGAGGCTCCAGAAAGGGCAAAAGTACTTTGACTCAGGAGACTACAACATGGCCAAAGCCAAGATGAAGAATAAGCAGCTGCCAAGTGCAGGACCAGACAAGAACCTGGTGACTGGTGACCACATCCCCACCCCACAGGATCTGCCCCAGAGAAAGTCCTCACTCGTCACCAGCAAGCTTGCGGGGTAACCTGGGCCCCCCTCTCCTCCCCTTCCTCACCCGCTGGACTTTATGTATTATAGGCAGGGATGGAATTGGGCAGCTAGTCAGATCCTCCCAGATTGCTAGCCGAAAATGCTGCTGCCGGGGCTCCCGAGGAGTTCACGTGGGTTGAAGAGGGGCTCTTGAGTTCATTTCTTTGGTTACATGGAGACTTCGCACCTTCACTGTAGCCCAGGTAGGGGCCGGGAAATAGGAAAGACCAGGATTGGATGATGCTGCAAACTTTTTCTCGGTGAGAAACTGGAGAGAGGTCATTTCTCCTCTTGGAAGATAATATCCCAAAGTGGTTAGGCTGAGCCTTGGGAATAATATGGCAGGTTGAACAGCCCTGGGCTAACCTGACGTGTTGGGAAAGGTAGATGGGATAAGATGTGTTTTCTGTGCTTCTGAGTGTTGTGTCCCTTGGGCTGCTGTTGCTTTGTGTGTTCCCTGCGGCAGGCAGAGAGAGTCCTCACCCAGGCCTGAGTGGTCTGCCTGAAACTGCAGTGCCCAGTTAACCTCTACTTAGTGTGGCTTACAGATTGCCCTGGCTCTTAAATAATGTAAAGATTGGCAGACATTGTTCACAGAAGATGGGCACCTTCTCTCTCTCTCTCTCCCTGCATGTTGCTTTTCAGAGTGTCATGGGATAGTAGGAAGAGCAGTGGTGTAGGAGTCTAGACATCTGGGTTCTGGGTCCACTTGGCCTCAGCAGTACTGATGTAGAACCTCAGTCAAGTCATTTAGTCTCTTTGGATTTCTATTTCCTCATTGTAAAAATAGTTATTAAATATACATAAAATTGATGGTGATTGTAAAATCCTATAACTGCCAGCAGAAAAATTCTGTGCTGTGCGTTGGGTGAGCCTCTGTGCTGGGCAAGTGCAGAGGGGACCCTCCATCAAGGACAGAAGAAGTTGGAGTTTGCAACAGAACCTCATAGTCCTGAGCGTCAGATTCTTAAGAAGCTAGCCACGGGCCCCACCCACTTTTTCCCACAGCCCACGTCTGGACCTTAGCTGCCCAAGAACTGCTCCAGCAGCAGAGTTCTTGGCTGTGGAAACACGCTTGGTCATGCACACGTGGAGAGCCGTGCTTCAGGTGTAATTGGGTGCCAGGTGTATTGTTAGGGAGAGAGAAAAGGAAGGGGTAAACCACTGCAGGGCTGGAGCAGCAGGTTTTAGGAGATGATTCACCTTGGAGGAAGCTGGGGGGACGAGGGAGGGAGACAGAAATCCCTGCCTTCCTAGAGCACAGTAACGTAGCTCTTGTGCAGTGAGGAGGGGTGGCAGTGGTGAGCCTGAACAGGTGGAGGAAAGGGGCTGCCGGTGGCACCGCTTGGCCTGAATCTTACTGAGTGTAACCTGCTTGATATGGCAGGAGGGCCAGGGTGAGAACTTACTGTTCGAAAGTGCAAGATTCTGGAATCCTCTCTTGCTCTTTGACCTCACAATTCTGAAATGCCAAACATTTGGCTTGATGAGGATGCCTGATGAATTTGCTGGTGTACATGTAGGAGAATAAGGTGTGTATCTGCTTCTTCCTGACTGGCCGTTCGATGTTCAGGCTGTCACTCAGATTGGATAGGAAAAGGTTGGTGAGGAAGGCATGGAGAAGAGAGCAGGCTCCCTGGCCCCCAAATTCCTTGACTGTCACTTGTAATTGTATATAATTTTTGTGTTCCTTGCTCCATTTCCTCATGCTGTCATCCTTAATCAAAAGTCCATGTGGGAAGGGGAAAATGCTGAACATCATTGTATAGTTTCCTTGACTGTCCCGACCATAATGTACATAAATATGTCATGTTATTATATATATAAATATATATATAATTTTGTACGTTAAAAAAAAAAAAAAAGAATTTTGTCCAACTAAAAGTCACCCTACAGACTGCAATACATAGTGACAAAGCCTATGCTCCTAGAGGCCCAGTGAAAGCCAGTACCTCTCTAGCTGTGATGATTCCCCAGGGACAGGGAGTTTTAGCCTCTTTTTAATGCTACACCTTTTTCTGCAGTCAGGAGATATGCCCCTAGTGGTTTATTTACCATTTTCACACTTTCTCAGAAAGACACAATCTAATTACGATACTTCCAACTCTTTTTTAAGTTGGCCCCCTTTTCCTTCCTAATATATTAAAGATTGTTTCTGTAAATGGCTGCCTTCTGTCCCTAACATACTTCTTTAGGTTTTCCCAGTGGAGATGGTAAAAGAGATAAAGTAAGTTCTTGGTCTTCTGCCAATAGCTACTATTTAAATAAACCTTATCCTTCTCATCTGCTTCACTGTAGCAGTGGGTAACTGCATGAACTCTGGATCCAGATCACCTGGATTCCAATTGCAGCTCTACAATTTACTAACTGCATTACATGGGACAAATTATGGGACCTCACTGTGCTCCAACTTCACAAGCATAAAATAGGAATAGTAGGTAAACCATAGGATTAATAAACACATTACATAGTATAATAGATATAGAATTTTTGAGAAATGATCTGGCCCATGGACGGCACCCTCGAAATCCCATACAGAATGGCTCCTCTTCGGTAAACATCTTTCCTGGTCCCAGGTTCAATCTAATATGGTCTCATCATTGTCCGATTTGATATATTTCCCCTTTTCTCTACCTTCCCTTGTAGCAATCATTTTCAAAGTATGGTCTCTGATACAGCAGCATCAACTTCTGCAGTTTGTTAGAAATTCAAGCTTTTGTCTCCAAACAAGACCTACTAATGGAAACCACAGGAATCAGACCAGCCAAGTTTTTGCCAGCTCTCCATGTTTATGATTCTAACATGCCCCACTAACTTAGGTACTTGATTCAGCAAATTTCTTCACTATGTTCTTCCAATGAGCAAGAAGTTGTTTTTCCCTTTTTAATTCAATTACCATGAAAATAATGAACTTTTTCTTTTATGTTAATTTTCCTTGCATTTTACTTTCAGATTGGTTTGCATTATCTGAAACATCTTATCATGGTTGTTACACCCCTTCCCCGAGCTTAATTCCCAAATGATTCATTCTGATACTTGGATCTCACTGTAGAAACCATGGTTTAGTTGGATGGGTATGACTTGGCCATTGAGATTTTTAAAAGACAATTTCTAACATGTAATCGGGTGGGAGGGACGTTATGGGGGGTAAGCCATTGTAATCCATAAGCTGTACTTTGGAAATTTATATTCATTAAATAAAAGTTAAAAAAAAAAAGAAAAAAAATTGAGAGGGTTGATCTATACCTTTGAGTACAAGTAATTATAGATTTTGTTTTTCTGAATCTTAATATGAGAACAGCGCTTCCCAGTCTTCCCTGGTTAATTAGGTCACTTAGGTCCTTAATAAGATAAAATTCCAAGCTACTTTCTAACCAAGTAATGTAAAATATCCAGAGAAAACCCAGGAAGTGGCTTTTTTAGTAAGTTTCACAGGTGATTCTTCTTATTATGAAAATTTAGGAAAGAATCAAACATTAAAGATAAATAAATATGCAATACTTTTACCAACTTGGCAACTTGGCACTGAGAGACAAGGATATTGTTTAGATTAGTGAGCTGAAACCAGAATCACGCCCTTTGTTTTCATATATTTTAACTTTTTAGACATAAATTATGTAATAAATAAAATAATTATCCTATTTATAGTTCCTAAGAGAAAGTAGATGACTTGGATTTATGTTTCAGAAAGAAAATAAAATCTCAGAGCAGGTTTTTGGTGAGAATGAAACTTAAATTCCTTGCTGACCTAAAAAGATTATTTTCTTGTTCGGTAAAGAACAACCAAGTTCACTACCACATGAGAAGATCACAACTGGCATGGTCTGAGAAATAGTTTAAATTAAGATGAGCATTTATTTTAAATGAAATATAACTTCATTTAGTGATGATAACCATACTGGTTAAATGAAACTTAGATCCCAATTAATTATTAGAATACTAGCATTTGTGAGGTTAGATAATTATGTTTCAAGAAAGATTATGAAAACCAAATTAAAACACTAAGAAATTTAATTTGTTAAAATTACCATAAAACTTGTACCGTGTCTCCTTGGAATTAAGAGAGAGAACTCTGTGTGGTAGTGACATTATTGGTAACTTCATGTTTTTCTAATAAAATAATTGTACTTTTGCCAATTAAATGCGTAACTTTTAGTATTTAGCTTATAATGGTTATCTTGCTAAGTGACAAGAAATACATTCATTAGGCTATGTGATTTAATTTATAATCATAAAATTTGCCCTGCTTGATGGATACTAAAAATAGCTAAACTCATTTTAGCAGATTCAGGACTAATTCAGAGAATACAGCTCCAGTGTTTTGCTTGAAATTTTAATCTTGATTGAGATCATTTGGCTCCAGAAAAATGCATCTATAGCCAGGCTTAAAGATCATGGTTACCTGAGGAACATCAGATATTTTCTCCTTGAATTATTCAGCAATTATGACTGTGGCAATCTGTACATATTTTCAAAACAGGAAGGGTTCAGAAAGTACATGTTTTAGCCATCAAATATTATAGCATAGTGGATACATTTTAATGACTTATCCAAAACTGCTTCATGCAAAATCCAAAATACGAGTGAATTAGAGATAGAGTGTATATATATATATATATAAAAGGTGACACAATACATACAGCTTAACATCTTTTCTTTGGGACTAAAGACTTCTTGGGGTTTTGGTGAAACCTGTCCGGTTGCTTTAATTGCCATGCCATCTCCATTTCGTTCCCACTGAACTGTCTAGTCTTCTATCACCATCTTCCCAAACAATGACCACCCTTCCACCCAAATCTAATTAACTATTACACTGTGACTGAATCCAATGTGTTTGATTAAGCAGTGCTTCTCACACTTCAATACATATGAATAACCACAGGATCTTTGCAAAATGCAAATTCTGATTCAGTAGGTGGAATGGGTCTGTGATTTTGTGGTTCTATCATGTTCTTAGGGAGTGCTAGTCCTGCTTGCACTTAGTAGAAAGGGCCTGAAAGAACGCTTTTTAAAAAGTTAGTGCAATATCTTTCCCATCTAGCCCAAGGACATCCTGCTTCAGAAAAATGAGAAATTGCTGGGTTTAGTTTCAACTCACTGAATCTCAGTCTCTGAGGGTTTAGACCAGGAATCTATGATTTTAATAATCTCTGAAGGTGGTTCCTTTACATCCCAAAGGCTAAAACACATTTCCCCCTCAACCCCTTTCCTCTGTTTTCCCTCTCTTAGCTATACATTTTGATTTTTGCCTTCTACAGCCATAATCCAAAGGAGCAAACCAACTGATGGAGATAGCAGATAAAATGACAAGTTAGATGAGAAGTAATTTTGGAAGAAAAGGACATTCCAATTATCAATGAAGCCATGTCTCCACTCCAAACAAAAAAGCAGCTCTTTTATTTTCTCTTATATAGGGCACCTTGTAGATTATATAAGCACTTCTTGTAACATACTTTTGTGCTACTGGAAATGGTGGTAGTGCTTGCCAGAGCATGTGAGTTTCATTTATCTCACTTGAATATCTACAGCTTGCCAATCTTCTCTTTTTGACATTGCTTCCATTTGCCATTACTTGGCACCACATGGCAGGTGTTAAGTCGTCGCCAGTAATTACATGCTTCACTAGAAACTTAGATCCTGCATGCTCAGGAGAGTGTAAAACTGTCATGAAAATTTAAAAATAGAATCTCAAGCATGTGGCCTCTCAAAAGATCTACAATGCAGCTTTCAACAGAAACATTTCAACACAAATGAATATGCTCCAAATTGAGCAGCTTTCTTCTAAAAATGTAAAGATTAAATGTAACCAGGTTACTACTTTATGGAAAAATCTCAAAAAAGTCATAAATGAAATTACTTTCTGAAAGAACAGCTGCTGAAAATCGCCCACACATATAAAGATAGACCTCAAACAGCATCACCTCCATTCACGCTGTCACCCTTCTTCCCAAAAGGAAGATATCAACTAATGCCAGTCATTCACTTGTATGGCTTAGAAATGTGCTGCTTTGCAGATAGGTAGGTTGAGTGTATTAAGTTATGTGTGAGAGAAAGTGATATTCTGAGTAGTATTTCTTTCAGACATGTGTTCTTCAAATGAGCTCAACTTTAAACATGGTATGTTTTGTTGCTCAATACAGAATCTCAGAATCAAGATTTCACAAATACTGTACAGAGGTATGAAATTTCAAAGTTGACCATTTTCAGAAATGCTTAAGGATTCAAGTCAAAAGTAGTTTATCCCAAAGCACTTTGCCTAACCCCAGGAAAACAATCAATTGGAAGAAATTTTTGGTGTCAAAAAAGAAAAATAACCATTTCTATTTCTTCATGAAGGCATATATAGCAAAAGCAAAATTAAAGAAGAAAGGAAAGAAATGAGAAAACTGAATCTAATTAAAACTCTGGTAACTGAAAAGTTGCATAGTAAATTTTATTAATATGTTTGATCCTAACTACATAAGCTCTATTACTTCTACTTATTTCAACTTTCTTCTTCATTTTATAAATGGAAAGCTTTCTTTTAATGTATATCAATAAATGAAAATTCAATTCCATTCCTGCACCAAAAAACTCTGAATCTAATTGTAAGATACAAAATTAGACACTGCGGAGGATGAAATTATAAATAAGAAACTGTATTCTGAAGATGACTGTCAATCGGTGCCTGGAGAGTGGAGGAGGATTGTTAACAATGTAACAATGCAAATCTATTTTTAATCATCAGGATACAAGTTGGGTAATATTCATACTAATGAGCATTAGTACACCTTAGAGCAATGACATCATCTGGTTGGAAAAATGAAGTATTACTTCCTGAAGTGATGCTTTATGAATAGGGTCCTG